CAAAAAATGTATTTTGTCCAAACCCCGCCCCATAGTTGCATGCTGGGACAAAATAGGACCAGCTAGAGTGAAATCGGGTTTTAAAGTTTCAAAAAAATCTAAACAAAATGTGGTTGTGCCAGAAATACATTAGTACTTTATTGTGTGTGTGTAGTTCACGTCAAAACGTATTTCATCGTATATATTTTTTATAGAAATGCAGTGAAAAAACGCGCAGACTTGCACGTAACATCCTACTGGATAGCTTCGCGCAGGTCACAGCATTGTCACCGCCGTCGTCGTCATCGGCTCCGGCCAACTTTGTCCGCGCGCCATCGATCCAACTTTTTGCCCCGTGTGGGAGAAGAAACTATGGCCCCGGTGTGCTTTGGTTTCACTTGCAACAACCAGTACTCATCTACACACTCCCACGACCATCATCTCCTAGTATAAAAATCCCTACCAGGAGCCATGGAACTCACTCTAGTCTCATCTGTCCTTCAACCAAAAGCCCCCATCAATACTTGTGCCTTCTGCAAGATAGCCCGGCAGCCATAGCCATGGGAGGAGGCCAAAAGGGTCTGGAGACTGCGATCGTGTGCCTACTCGTGCTGGGGCTGGTCCTGGAGCAGGTGCAAGTAGAGGGCGTGGATTGCGGCGCAAACCCCTTCAAAGTGGCCTGCTTCAATTCTTGCCTTCTCGGTCCTAGTACAGTGTTCCAGTGCGCAGATTCTGTGCTTGTCGAGTCCCCGCTAACTTGGCCTCTGCACGCAGCTCCGGTAAAGACAGACAACTCGCTACTTCTAATTTATATACTATCTCCTTTTCAAAGTGGATGTGGTTGTGATCCTAAAAAAGTGTAATGTCAAATTATAAAATTCCAAGTTTACCTATTAATTTAATAAACTATTCTGTATTTGTTAGTTGATATTTGTATGATCAGATTTGACATGAATAATGTTTCCGCTATATTAAGAAGTTTCTACCAGAAAATAGTTGTGAAAATAGCTAATACAGAATAAATGGTAGAGGCCATGCCAATACACAAAACATCGACATATTGTAACTGAGGAATTGTTTATCTCGGATCTACTTCGTTTTGGCAGATGAACCAAACGCCATTGAGTATTGCAGCTTGGGATGTAGGTCTTCCGTGTGTGACAATGTGATCAACACAGGTAAATAAAATCCATCTGAGTATATTTATATTTCATTTGTACATGCAAACTAATTGAAAAGTTAGTTCTTGACGCATACTATCCTATTTTGGCACCAGCTGACAACACAGAAGAGATGAAACTCTATGTGAAACGCTGCGGGGATGCTTGTGACAGTTTCTGTAAGGGGGATACTCTCTTGGCATCCCTTGATGACTAATAATGCATATGCTTGGTCTATGATTTCACAGGCCAAAGTTATGTCACACCATCGTGTTCAATAAAAAACAGGATCCCATTGAGAGTATCCAAACCAGTGTGTCAGTTTGTTTATGTGCTTGTGTGTATTTTCTTTTGTTGCTCCAATAAAGAGATATCATGGTGGTGTCATATTGATGCCTGCCTGATGTACTGCCATGATTGAGATATAATAATATATGTTGTATCGTTTTTCTGTGGATATAAACTCTATGAGCATATGCCTCACGTAATATTCTTTGGTCTTTGATTTATTTATTTTAGGCCTGACCTCAAGTTGTTTGATGTCTGTGATGTAAACCATGAAATGGATCTTGTTTTCCCCATTTTCAGTGAACACTTCTCTGCAGTATTCTGTTGATATGCCGAGGGTTACCTCCTTTTCGAAGAGGAAAATATTTAGTTGATATTTATGGCATTGATCAAACAAGTCCAGGCTACTACTTCAGATGAAACCGCCCATTTTCTGCAATATTCAAGGACATGTTCGACGCATAGAAGTAACTGCCCTAGTCCCTAGTCAGATGCATGTGTCTAGAAGTCCTCCGTATTTTCATCATGTCTCCATCTACCATTAGCCGATAACTAGTCGCTTGCGCTTAAATGGGCGAACACTTTTGATATATATTTATCCAAAAGCTTGTATAAATTAGAATTGTTGGGGAAAAAAGATGTTCTATGAGTTTAACAATTTTTTAAATACATGATTAACATTATTTTAAATGTACAAGTTTTTATATCTATATTTTTTTGTATACATGAAGAGAATAAATTGTAGAAGTTTAAATTTTTTAATACATGATTAACATTTTTTCAAATACATGTTTTGATATCTACTTTGTGCCAGACACATTGTACATTTTTCGTATACAGCTGAAACATTTATTTTATATATGTTTAACATTTCTCAAATACATGATTAACATTTTTTTCAAACATGTGTTTTTGAACATTGTTGTTCGCATATGTATTAAACAGTTTTTCAATTACGCGTTGAACATTTTTTTCAAATGCTATCACCATTTTCTAAAAGTTGCACAAACATTTTTTAACACTGCACAAATTTTTTCAAAAAATATATTTTAATGTCTACATTTTTCATACCCCATCTATATTTTTTATACACATCATAAAAATATACACGTTTAACATTTTTTCATATATATGTTTTGATGTTTAATTTGTTTCCATACATGTTGTATATTTTACCTATACATTAGAAACATTTTTCTATACATGTTTTGAATAAGAAATTATACTAGCATCGGGTTTCTCAACATAATTCAAACTTGGCTTTATGTTTTTGAAACCAAAATAGTTAGGACATACATGTCTCATTTGAGACCAAATGTAAGCTAAGTATAGAACAAGCAAATCCATCCATTTATATTTTTTTTAAATAAACCAATCGGGACAACTTTGATTGCAATAATAAGTCACTATCGGTCACTCTAAATGCACAACATGTTGACCGATATGCTTTGTAACAATCTTATTGCTAACAATTAAATTACCTTTCTTCGTTGGTCTCTCAAGATTGTTTATAAGGATTTTTTTTTCTAATAGATGCATCAACAACAAAGTTATGACCAAATCTTAATATAGGTCATTACTTGCTAGACACCTCTTCAAATAGGTTGGGAGAGCATAATGATTGCATGACTTGAAAAATATCTTGCTCTGCTTTTGGATGACCCCCAACACCTTGTCTTCATCTTTTTCTTGATTGTTTGCATATTTACTTTGAAGATCTTTGTCAACTAAACTTTGTTCGGCTACTTGTTGTTGTCATTGAAGCTCGTCAACTTCTATGGCATGAAACTTATAAGGCAAGAAGTAGGTTTCATTAACTTTAGAAAAAAAAATCAAGCATGACTGTTTTGTTATGTTTTCCATGCCCTTTCTCAATAATGCTTGCCTCTTTGGATTTGATGGATTTAGAATATATACTACTTAATTCGGCTTTTTCAGCCGAAGCATTTTCACGTTCCGAATCCTTCTTTTCATTGATTCTACTAAGTCACAATGCTTCTTTTATTCGAGTCAATTTTTTTCTCTTTGTTCCTGGCCCACGACCGAGTCCGCGAGCAGCCCACGGTCCGACGTCTTGGACAGTGGCACTACTTAGCGACTCATCAATTGATGTGTGCGGTCTGTGCGATCTTGGGTATATCGGTGTGGATTGGACATGGGAGAAAAAGGTGACGGGTGGATACTTCTGTAGGGTGCGGCTGGATAGGGCACTGGCTACTGCTAGCTGGAGCTCCTTGTTCCCTTTCGCTTCTGTGAGACATCTTGTGGCTGAAAAATCTGATCATTCACCAATTATCCTTTTTAATGATTTGGATGCAGCAAATAGGAGGATTGCTTTGGACAAACCGTTCCGCTATGAACAAATGTGGGAAACTCATGATGAATACTTCCCGATGCTTGAGCAGGTGTGGGCATCGTTAGGCAAGGCCGAGACGGTTCAAGATACCAGTTTGAAATTACATGCCCTGGCCTCGGCTTTGGCTGCATGGGGCAAGCACACTTTTGGTCAGGTGAGGAGTGAACTTAGAAGTTTGAAGAAAAAACTTGAGGAGCTAAGGTCTGAACCTAATAGGCAGGGGCCTTCCTATGAGGAGTTGAAAGTGCAAAACAGAATAATAGAGTTGAATTTCCGCGGAGAGATTATGTGGCGCCAACGTTCGCGCATACAGTGGCTTGCGGAGGGTGACGGCAATACAAAGTTTTTTCACCAAAAGGCGTCTATGAGGAAAAGAAAAAATAGAATCAGTGAGCTTCCGAGGGAGGATGGCACATTATGCAGAGATGAAAAGGAATTGGGCAGCATGGTGACTGAATTCTACAAGAATTTATATGCATCTGAAGGCACTGTTGGGATGGAGGAAGTGTTATCCCACATTCCTTGTAAAGTCAGTACTGAGATGAATGACATGCTTAATGCACCATATAAAGCTAGTGAAGTAAAGGAGGCCCTATTCCAAATGTATCCAACAAAGGCACCGGGACCGGATGGTTTTCCGGCGCATTTCTTTCAGCGGAATTGGAGTGTTTGCGGTGATGAGGTTACCGAGATGGTATTGCGTGTTCTCAATGGGCTAGATTCTTCGGAGGTTATAAATAAAACGTTCATCGTTCTTATCCCTAAGGTAAAAAACCCAACCTCTTTGGTCCAATTTCGACCGATTAGTTTGTGCAACGTAATCTTCAAGATTATTTCTAAAGTTCATTCTAACCAGCTGAAAAAGATTTTACCGGAGATTATTTCCCAAGAGCAATCCGCTTTCGTTCCTGGCAGACTCATTACTGACAATGTTATAGCTGCATATGAATGCCTTCACTTCATGAAGAGATCAAGGAGTAAGAAAAATTCACATTGTGCATTGAAGCTTGACATGATGAAAGCGTATGATAGGGTTGAGTGGAACTACCTTGAAGTTGTTATGCTAAAAATTGGCTTGCATCCATCTTGGGTTCGTAAAGTTATGCAATGTGTGAATACAGTTTCCTTCTCAGTTTTGATGAATGGTGGTCGACTGGAGGAGTTTAAACCCACCAAGGGCATCCGCCAAGGTGACCCGATCTCTCCGTATCTCTTCTTGCTAGCGGCAGAAGGTTTCTCGTGTTTGTTGAACTCCAAGGGTGAGAATGAAAATGTGAGGGGGGTAGTTGTCGCTCCTACGGCTCCTCCCGTCAATCATTTACTTTTTGCGGATGACAGTTTACTCATGTTGAAAGCAAATGATATCGCTGCTACTATCATCCGAGATACAGTGCAGCAGTACTGTGATGCTTTAGGCCAAATAGTTAATTTAACCAAGTCTTCTATCTTTTTTGGGAAGGGTTGCCCGGAGGCTACAAGGAATTCTATTAAATCCATTCTTACTGTTCCAAATGAGTCTTTAAATGAACGGTACCTTGTCTTACCGTCAGATGTGGGAAGGAGCAAGAATGGATCATTTAAGTACATAAAAGACAGAATGTGGGCAAAAGTTCAGGGCTGGATTGAGAAGTGTATGGCTTCATCTGGGAAGGAAATTTTAATAAAAGCAATCGCTCAGGCGATCCCCACTTACTCCATGTCATGCTTCTTGCTACCCCGGGGCCTTTGCAATCAGATGAATACTATGTTGAGGAATTTTTTTGGGGGGAGTAAAGATGGAAATAGAAAAACAACTTGGGTCTCTTGGGAGGATCTCACTATGCCCAAGTACATGGGTGGTTTGGGATTTCGAGACACTGAGCTCTTTAACCTCGCGATGTTGGCAAAACAAGGATGGAGAATACTCCAGGAACCTAGTTCGTTGAGTGCTAGAATTTTGAAGGCAAAGTATTTCCCATCTTCAGACTTGTTGCAAGCAGAAATTGGATCACAACCATCACAAGTATGGAGAGCTGTTTATGCAGGCTTGGAAGTTTTGAAACAAGGGCTCATACGACGGATCGGTGATGGTGGATCAACGCAAGTGTGGAACCAAAACTAGATTCCAAGGAACAATATGCTGCGGGCTTTGCACCCAATCTCTGATGTTCCTCCGGTTTTGGTTGCAGAACTAATTGATGTACCCTCCAGAAAGTGGGATCGGGCTGCTGTTTACCAGCACATGAATGTCATTGATGCTGAAGCTGTGTTAAATATTCCGCTGAGCACTTCTGCTTCAGAGGATTGGTGGGCGTGGCACTATGAGCGTTTAGGTATTTTCTCGGTACGGTCTGCGTACCGCCTGCTGGTCGATACGAAGAGGCGAAGGGAGGATTGGCTATACCACCATGGAAGTATGTTAGATATGGCATCAAAACAGAAACAATGGCAGAAACTATGGAAAGCAAATGTCCTAGGGAAGATAAATTTTTTTCTTGGAGATTAGCTCGGAACTCTATCCCGACTGGTGCAGTATTAAAACAGAGGCATATAGCTGATTCTGAGACCTGTTTTCTTTGCAATGCCGAAGTGGACAGCTGGCGCCATGCACTAATTGATTGCCGCATGTCAAAATGTGTCTGGGCACTAGTTGATGAGGACATAGTTGAGCATATGATTGCATGCCAATTCGATGATGCAAGGCTGTGGCTTACGGAGATGCAAGAATCAACGAGTGAACAAGTTTTTGCGAAGATTCTTGTGACACTCTGGGCAATTTGGTGGGCAAGGAGACAGGCAAAGCATGAAGAAATATCAGAGTCCCCTGTCTACTTTTTCTTTCATTCAAAGATTTTTGGATGATCTTCAGTTAATGCCAGCAAATGAGAAGAAAAAGCACGCTGGAGTTCAGAGAGGAGTCACGAAACGATGGTTGAAAAGTGGTCCTGGTGTAGCAAAGATTAATGTCGATGCTTCAATCTCCAGGAATAATGTAAGAGGTGCAAGTGCAGCCATCTGTCGTGATGACAAAGGTGTTTACCTGGGAGCTTCAGTGACTGTCTTTGATGGACTAGTCGATCCTGAATGTTTAGAAGCCCATGCTTGCTGTGAGGCATTCGCCCTAGCAACAGACCTGCAGTTGAGAAGGGTGAAAGTTGCAACTGACTGCTTAGCCACTGTCAATGATTTATATGGTAACTTCATGGGCTCCTCGGCGACTATTATCAGGGATATAAAACTAAGAATGAGGCAAGTCGATGAATCTGAAGTGGTGCATGAAGCTAGAGAATGCAATTTTGAAGCTCGTGCTTTGGCTAAGGCTTCGGCCTCTCTTGCCGCGGGACGGCACCTTTGGTTATCCACTTTTCCTACTGTTTTATTTGTACCAAACATCATTGAGGTTTAAATAAAGTGTGGTGACCCTAAAAAAAATCAATTAATCCAAGAACAATTAACAATTTCTGACTGGCAAAAATAAGCTTCGGCTCGTTCCGGCAACCCGTGACGTGCACACGTCGTGACGACGCGAGGCTTGCAGAGGAGGGGGAGGAGTGCGCGTGTACAACTCCTCTTCCCAAACTCTCAATGACATGTGGTAGAGCATCCCTTCTAAAGGGGTCTCACTCTCACTCTACTAGCAGTATGGTACTAAACTTACCATCATTTGCCATGCATCTAAATGAGCCTTAGAGATTAACCAGAGATTATTGTCTTATATAGGCATAAGCCCAGCTATAAACTAACATATTTAAAACCAATGTTTTTTTCTTTCAAAACTATGTTATCCTTGGAAAACTACAAAAATGCTGAGCTGCCAAATACAACCTGATCTTTTTAGAAATTTCAATATGAGTCATATATAAAATTATAAATGTATATGAACGTATTTTATAGTATAGACTCACTTATTTTGCTTCGTATGTAGTTTATGTTAGAATCTCTAAAAAGACTTATATTTATAAATGGAGGAAATACTAGAATGTAGTTAAAAAACGCGCCGGCGTGCACGTAACATCCCTACTTGATAGGTGCGCCCAGGTCACAACTTTGTCCGCGCGCGCCGTCGATCCAAACTTTTTATCCCGTGTGGGAGAAGAAACTATGGCCCTGGTCTGCTTTGGTTTCACGTGCAACAACCAGTACTCATCTACACACTCCCACGACCATCATCTCCTAGTATAAAAATCGATACTAGTAGCCATCCAAATCTAGCCTCAGAAGCCCTTGAACCAAAGCCCCCATTATTACTTGTGCCTCCTGGAGGAGAGCCCGGCAGCCATAGCCATGGGAGGAAGCAAGAGGGGTCTGGGGAGTGTGATCGTGTGTTTACTCGTGCTGGGGCTGGTCCTCAAGCAGGTGCAACATGTAGAGGGCGTGGATTGCGGCGGGAGCATCTTCAAAGTGGCCTGCTACCATTCTTGCCTTCTCGGTCCTAGTACAGTGTTTCAGTGCGCAGACTTCTGTGGCTGTCACCTCCCCGCTGACTTGGCCTTTGTACGCAGCTCCGGTAAAGACACACAACTCACTACTACTTTTACTTTATACTCCCTCCGTCTCATATAGTACTAATTACCGCTCAATCTGATCCATCTAGCACTAAAATACGTTTAGATACATCTGATTGAGCGACAATTAATATGATATGAAGTATATACTACTCTCTCTGTCCCATTGGGACGCAGAAAGTATAAAAAAGTAGACATGATCCTAAAAGAGTATTTTTCCCAAGTTTACCTACTAACATAATATAAACTATCATTAATTTGTTTAGATGATTTGTATGATCATATTTGACATGAATAATGTTTCCATGATCCCAAAAAGTAGTTGTGAAAATAGCTAATACAGATCTATTTCGTTTTGGCAGATGAACTAAACACCATTGAGTATTGCAGCTTAGAATGTAGGTCTTCCATGTGTGACAACATGGTCATGGTCAACATAGGTAAATAAAATCCATCTGAATATATTTATATTTCATTTGTATGTGCAAACTAATTGAAAAGTTAGTAATTGAGGCATACTATGTTTCTTTGGCACCGGCTATCAACAGTGAAGAGATGAAACTCTATGTGAAACTCTGCGGTGATGGTTGTGATAGTTTGTGTAAGGGGAATGCTCTCCTGGCATCCCTTGATCTTGATGACTAATAATGGATAAGCATGGTCTGAAATTTCACAGGCCAAAGTTACGTCTCGCCTTCGTGTTCAATAAAACTAGATCCCATTGAGAGTATCCAAACCAGTGTGCCAGTTTGTTCATGTGCTTGTGTGTATTTTCTTTCGTTGCTACAATAAAAGATATTACATGTGTCATTTGCCTATGGATATAAACTCTATGAGCATATGCCTCGTGTAATATTATTTGGTCTTCAATTTATTTTTTTTAGGCTTGACCTCAAGTTGTTTGATGTATGTGATGTAAACCATGAAATGGATCTTTTTTTCCGCATTTTCAGTGAACACTTCGCTGCAGTATTCTGTTGATATGCCGGGGGTTTTGACCTCCTTTTTGAAGAGAAAAAAAAATATCCAGTTGATATTTATGGTACCGGTCAAACAAGTCTGGCCTATTATTTCAGATGAAACCGGCCATTTTCTGCAATATTCAAGGACATGTTCATTCTTTTTTGCGAAATATACAAGGACATGCTCATTTTCTTTTTTGCAAAATATACATGTTCATATTTGAACGCATATAGAAGTAACTGCCCTAGTCAGATGCATGTGTCTAGCTAGCATCCGCCGTATTTCCACCATGTCTCCATCTACCATTAGCCGATAACTAGTCGTCAACGCTAGCGCTTAAACGGTAGAGCACTTGTGATATGTATATTTATCTAAAAGCTTGTAAAAATTAGAATTGTTGGGAAAAAAGATGTTCTATGAGTTATTATTAAACATGACATGTGCAGAAGTTTTCATTAAGTCAAAAGAAGTTTTGTCGAAAAATGTCAAAACGAGTTACATCACTAATTTTTCATTACAGCATTATCTTTTTCCAACAATCAAATGTGTCACAACATCATACATATTCTTCATGTGTCTTGAGCAAAAATAAAACAAAATTTGCGAGTACATGTGTCTTGAACAGTTACTTCTGATTTATGGACAACGTACAAATATGAACATGCAACTCTGTTAAGTTTGTATGCATTCACACATAATATACATAGTTGCAATAGAAGAGTAGAAAACAAATGATGCCACTGACAATAGAGAAATCAATGCTACAAATCTATTAACGACTGCCAGGAAGTATTATACATTGTTATAACGACGACCCGGAAATAATCAAAAACCATCACCACCACCATCATCAATGGTTCCAGCCAAAATTCCAGGGATGGGTGCCTACCATAAAATTGTCATTTACCGCAAGGTTGCTTGTTGTGGTTTCTAGAAGAATCACGCTCATTGGAATGACTATTCTGGAAGAGTCCCAGATCATTTAAATGAGCAGTCTAACTCTGAGAGAATCATCATTGGTAAGTTAGCTACCTAAATTTCAACAAAAAACATTTTTCATGAAAAAACTTTTAAAATATGTAATTAGTTTAAAGTTTTTATTTCTGATTTTAATTGGATCTTGATTGAAAATTCAAAGCTATATCAAAGTTAACAATGTTCTTGTTACTAGGCCTGACAAGTGAGCATTGCCGGTCAATTTTAGCATTTCATGGAGATTTGAGATTTGTAATAATCATTAGCACAAAAAAAGTGTTTTTATGACTGAGAACTTTTAAAAAAAATAACATGCTGAAATTGGGGTGCTGCGAATTCACGCGCATCATTTGTCCGCCTGCTGCCTCTTGCGGGAGTTATATCTTGTTTATAGCAAGATGTATACTCCCCTCGCTTGAAGCTTTTACCTGCCCACTCATTCGCTAGTTGTCGCTGTGCTTCTCTTGTTCGCTTCATTTTTTTGGTTTTCTTCCTTTTTATTTGTTTCTTTCTCGTTTTTCTTTGTTTATTTCTCAGTTTTTATTTTTATTTTTCTTTGGTTTTCATTGTGTTCAATGTTTTTTTTAGTTTTTGTTTCTTTTTTCTTTCTTCAACACATTTCTACTTTTTTCACATCAATTTTTTTGTTATATAGATCAAAAACATATTTTATGCATCTTTAACATTTTTAAATACATGATTAACATTTTTATAATATAAATTCTGATATCTACTTTTTTCGATACACCTCGTACATTTTTCTTATACATATGAAACGTTATTTGTGTACATTTTCAGTATTATAAAACTACATGATTAATATTATTTTAAATGTAAGTTTTTATGTCTACATTTTTTTATACATCTAGGAAAAATATTATACATGTTTAACAAATTTTAAATACATGATTAACATTTGTAAATACAATGATTAATTTTCTTTCAAATACATGTTTGATGTGTACTTTGTGCCAGACACATTGTACATTTTTGGTATGCATCTGAAACATTTATGTTATATATGTTTAGCATTTCTCAAAAACATGATTAAAATTTTTTAAACACATGTTTTTGAACATTGTTGTCTGAATATTTGTTAAAAAAATTCAATTACGTGTTGAGACATTTTTTCCAAATGCTATCACAATTTTTTTAAGTTGCACAAACACTTGTTAACACCGCACACACTTTTTTTAAAATATATATTGATGTCTACATTTTCCATAGACCATCTAAATATTTTTATACATCATAAAAAATAGAACCGTTTAACATTTTTTTTCAAAAAAATGTTTTGATGTCTACTTTTTTTATACACGTTGTATATTTTTCATATACATTAGAAACATTTTTCTATACGCGTTTAACATTTTTCAAACGCAAACCTATAATTTATTAAAAAATTATATAAATTATTTTGTAATATTTATATATATAAATATACATTTTTTAAAATAGTAAAAAAAGGAAAGAAAAAATACCAAAAAAAACAAGCGATTAAGGCCCGTGGATCTCTAGCGAGCTGGGCCGGCCCATATCGTCTCCTTCAGTCTCACTATTAAGCAACTCATAATTATCTGAGAAATTTTGGTCCCTCGGCTCCGGCTGCCATCTTGGCACTGGGAGGTGGGAGGACCTCGGATCTTCAAGATCTATATGTTCCTCGTCAACACCTAATGATCGTCATAATTTTGTGAGAATAAACTTCCTCTCGTTCTTTTGGCAGTGCCATGAGGTTAGAGAGTTTTCTGTCCTCGCAGATTTGATTATTTGGATATGATGAGTTATGTGATGAGGACGTCAGTACCATTGTTAAACCCATTGCCCCTTCTGCTATACATACTGGACCAATTATTTGAGCTCGCGCATGCCAATTGAATTACCGGGTACTTTCATTTCTTGGTAACAATTCTAATGTTCATGAGAATATGACGTTGCCTAAATTGGATACATTTGTTTTACTTACAAATGAAGGGCCTAGCTTGGACAAGAAAGATGAACATTGGAGCAAGATCAAGCATGGAGTTGATGGCATGCGCAAGGGAAACAAGAACGGAGTTTCAAGTGACGATTTCACAACTTTGAAGCCATCATAATGAGTGCATGAAAGCTTGGACGAAATATACAAGATGCTACTTCATAAATTTCATCCAGAGGCTATTATAGGTGTTGCGACACCTTATTATTGGGGCAGACCCATGCAATTTCAAAATACTTCAGTATAGGCTTCTTTTAGAGTCCGTATGTATGGGAAAACAGAGTTAAGTGTTGGTTTCAGACCCCTCCTCCATACGGCCCTACTCCATATATACAGCCCTTAGGGCATGGTTTAGACTTTGGTTTTGTTTAGATTAAAGCTCCTCATAGCTGTAACTTCACGTACTTTGTTTGTGTTCAACGACCAGACCAAGACGTCACAGAACCCCACCATGATCAATAGAGCTTTCATCTTATATTCGCATATCCAGATTGCAATTTAGTTTCTTGCTTGTTCTTCGTTTGTTTGAAGGAAATAGACCCTCGTGGTCAGGTTGATCGTGCTTCAACATGGTCAATAACCTCTCAGATTTGGTTTAGCGATTGCTAAGGCGCGGCGTCCTCGCACGTTCGTAATCGGATCGTCAAAATCCACTTTTCCAAAAACGATAATCACCATCTCATCGAAAGACGAACACCTTTGCCTCTATCGTTATGTTGCCGTATCAAGATTTTTTTGTTGGTTTGATTCTTTGTGGAGGTGAAATCTTTATCAACACCATGGTGAAGATATAGTGATTCGACGGCCTATACTTCTAGGGGATCATCCTGGCCCAAGTACGTTTATCGATTAAGGCTTTCCATCTTTTTAGATGGGCGGCTCAAGGCGCTTTCAAAAATCATTATTGCTAAAGTTCGTGTAGCTAAAAGAGTGACACATTGTTACTCTAGTTTAGTTGCAACCTCTCTACCTAAGTCTCTGAGTATTTCTTCAAGTAAAGATTGATACCATGAAGAAGGTGTTTACAAGATATTTCATTATAATTTTTAGTCATAGGAGTTACTTTATATTTTCTTGATCTTAGATCCAAATCAGTGTGTTGTAATTGTTATGAGCACCAATAAAGTTACAGTTGTTAAACCTCATAGTTACACTAAAAAAATGCACCTCAAGAAAAGAAAATCATAGTGGCACCCGCCTCCCCCATACGGCGGCATCGCACCAGGCGACCAGCGATGGCAGCGCCCCTCCCGTCGGCTCGTCCGCCGCCACTCCCGGTTCCGGATCCTGTAGTGGAGGCCAGGGAGGACATCGCCCTCTCCCGCGTGCGCCGAGCCGACCACCGAGGAGGGAATCGAGGCGGCGGCGCCCTTCCGCGCTCGGTCCCTAACCTGAAGCGGCTGGCCGGTGGCCGCGAGGACCGCAAGGCAGCGGTATGGCGTTGAATTTTGCGCCCTTCTCCATTGTTCAAGATTTCGTATGCCGCGGTGTTCGTCATGGCCGGGAGCAGGAGTATGTCGAGTTCCTGCAGATGCCCAAGCTCCGCTCCACTGCTTTCGGTGAGCGCTCTCTCAATCTCTCTGTTTCCTCGTACGAGGACGATTGGCAGCGGGTGTAGGAGTACATTTTTTGCTTATTTGACACTAATAGGAAGAATAAAATGCCGGAGTAGGATTGCCAAGCGTTTGTGAGGCACAAATAAGCAATTTTCTCTTTTGTTTTAGCTTGATACTAGGAAAATTGCCCGTGCGTTGCAACAGGAGAAAAAACCATATGCCCATTGCCCGTGCTTCGCTATTGGTTAAACAACAACTGCGATAAAGCGGCAGACGACAATGCAGCTAAATAAACCAAATGGATTTTTTAGACATAAATGAACCACATAGATAATTAAGTGTATATGGTTGATGGATCAATTAACAATACGATTCTTTGGGAACATATGCCCGTGCGTTGTAATGGGGGAAAATGTGGCACTCCCCTAGCCGAATAAGTATCCATTTTCTCTAACATGAAAAAGAATTGTACTTTCACCCAAATCATTCTTGCAAAACTCCTAAGGAACGTGTTGATTGTTTGGTTTCCAACTTCTCTATTTTATTTGGACACCCACTATTTCAGGTGCTATCCACTAGCAATGGTGTACTAATTGTCCATGATTAATTCAAGACATATATGTAGTGCCATGGACAGAAGGATCTGGGATATTTGATTAACTGTTGTGACTGGTTCATTAACCGGAAACACACATAATTATATTTTCTAAACCGGAGACAATTTTCTTATGGGCAATCTTCTCACAAAGCTCTATGAAATTGCATAATTAATTGTTGTGTTTCATTATGAGTTATCCCATGTGCATGCATGGTATACTTATACATAAGAAAATAAATCCTGTTATGTGAGACATGAACATCAGAAGAATGGTGCATATAGAAACACTTTTATATGATGGATGCTAGTGTGATGCATATATACATAGACTTAGAGTGTGTGCTTGCCCGTGAATAATTCTTGTCTAAAGAGTGAGTGCTTTTAATACAAAAAAAAATACAATTTCTTTTGAATATATACCAAGCGAAAAGGGAAATAGGAATCGATTTCATACCCGCACTTAGTAGGTCGTGTGCAAACGTGTGTTTGCTTGCTACCATAGTTGTATGCATCTTGTCCATGGGGCTTGCTTACTTGCATGCGTGTTGCATAGATCGTGGCATGTCCACAAATGACTGATCTGAAAATAATGCAGTGTCCAGGTGCTCGACATGGAGGATGCGTTGGTATCTATCCTCGTCGTATACGTTTCCCGTCCAAGTACACCAGCGTGTCTGGATCTGTGTGCATATGCATGAGGCAACAGCTGATGCCGCCGCGTCCTGTATCTGCCAGCCCTTCGTAGGTCCTGGGCGGTATAAGTACATTTATATAGCACCTAGGTAGTAAAACAGATGGTCTAGCCGATGTCTACTTCTAGTCCTATCTCAAATATTTTCTTTTCTCTCCTCTCCATCTGTTTCTCTTTTCTGAGATGAGAAAATAAAAACCTTCAGCAGTGCTAGGCCGGCCCAACTCTCCTTGTCTCTCTCTCTCTCTCCCTAGTTTTTCCTCCAGCCCAGCTGGGCCTACCAGGGCCTGCCGGCCCATCTCCTAACCAAGGCCCGCCTAAACCCTTCTAAACCTAGCTGCACAGGAGC